ATTTGGCAATTTGCTAAATATTTTGTTTATAGATGTTGGTTGTATTTATTTCTGTCATGTACCTCTTAGTGGATTTTTGCTATGGTAAATTATTTTTAAATTACTCAAGTGACAAAAGACAGCCTGGCCTAAACATTGCTGCCTTGAGTTGTATCTCTATTGTTCACCAGCAGCTTTTGTCTCCTAGTAATTATTGTAAAGTAACCTTAACCTTGCTACACATTTCATGACTTGTTAAGTTAATAAATGAAGATTTTGGAACAGAGTGCAGCAAGTGGTTTACCACAAAAATAATCAAGCTTAATACACCACAGTGAAATATAAGGCACTTATATCTTTAAGTTTCTTTTCTCCTATTCCATAGTGTGAAATTCTGTTCCTTCTGTCTTGTGCGGTCCTTTTGGGTGGTTTGTATATGTAATGTTGTTAGTGCAAAGCTATTTAACATCAAAGATTGAATATGAAGCTTAATATATTTTTTAGGAATTGGAATTCTTAAGAGAAATTAGAACATGCACATTCTAATGTCCAACTTTTTATTTGCTGATGTCTTTAGATTCCCTCAAACTAGATTTAAGATTCAGGTCGTGGCATCACCTAACCAGAACTGACTACACCTCCCCAACAATTGTGAAATACTTTCGCATTTAGGTTTCCTTCACTTTTTACTTTGTATACAAGTAAATTGAGCCAGTGAAAATGAATGCACACAAAATATAATTACTTTTGTACAGTTACAGGCACATATGCAGCAAAAACTTCAAGCTCAACAAGTTCAGCCCCAATCCCAACAGACAGCCAAGCTATTATCATTAACGCCACCATCTTCACCAAAGGTGCAGCGAGCAGGCCACCGGAGAATCGTCAGTGATGTCCCATTCAGCAGTATATTTGGAGTCCCTGCCAGTCGTTCCTCTCAACAACTGGCAGCAGCTGCGGCAGAAGCAAATCTTTATAAATCAAAGTGAGTTCAACACAACACGATTACTGAGTTAGGTAGCACTTTGACATTTTACTCAATTGAAAGGAAGGATCATTACTTCCTATTTAAAATTGCCCATTCCAACATTATTTTACAGTTAAATAATGGACTTTTAAATTTCCATTGCTGATGTTGGCATACAACAAAATGCCATCTCTTTCCATAGTCTATTCTTCTTTTTTTCTACCATTATAACTTGCATTGAGAGAGGGGAGGATCAAATTTTCCATGTAGGTACTAACTTAGGAAGGAGGTGGTTCTGCGTAGTAGAAGGAGGTAGGTACTAATTTAAAAAGTAGGACTTCAGTGGTCAAAATGTTTAGATTAATACCCGAGCCGGCTGCAAATAGGCAAGAGGAAAATCAAATTAGGGAAATTACCCAAAGACTGGTGTGGCAGAATTGGTTTCTGTTCGTGGGCTGCTGATGCAAGTACTAGGGAATATGGGAAATTAATAGGGATCTGACTGTTAAAGGGTACAGGATACTTAGAAAGGATAGCTACGATTGAAAAAGTGAACGGGAGACTCAGTTAGTTAGTTATGGTGTTGGTATAACAGCTGACCCAAGTACAAGAACAGTGATGTAGAAACAGTAGAAATGTGGATTGATAAAGGCATGAAGTCACTTGTACAGCAATTGGGAGCAATGTACAGGCCCCCAAACGGTATCTGCACAGTAATGTGGAGCATGAAGGATGAAGTAATAAGAGCTTCACAGAAAGGCATGCTGATGATTGTGGGAAATTTTGATCTAATATCATCTGGTAAAGTCAGATGGATGAAGGTAGCCCAGATGACTTTATGGAATGTTTTCAGGATAAATTTGTAGAACATCATATTCTGGAACTGACCAGAATGTAGTCAATACTAGACCTGGTACTGTGCCACAAAATGGGATTGATTCATTAATGATCTCATCGTGAAAACACCCCATGGTTGTAGCAACTGTAATATGATTTGAATTTTACATTCAGTTTACTGGAAGGAAGATTAGGTCTGGGGCACTTTCTTTTAAATTTGGAAAGGATATTGAAGCATATTTTCTCTTCTGGGGGAACCCAGAATTATGGGCCACTTTTTAAAATCAAGGGTTGCCCGCTTAAAACTGAGATTAGCCAGATTTTTTTTTCTGAGCTTTGAGTGTCTGTTAACTTTTTTTCTGAAAATGGAAGTATAAATCTTGATTCAGAGGATAGTAGGAACTGCCAATGCTGGAGAATCTGAGGTAACAAGGTGTAGAGCTGGATGACCACAGCAGGCCAAGCA